AAGGATGTTGAAGGAAGTGATAGGGGAGATCAGGTTTATTTGTTATTGTTACTTTATCACCTTTTACTTAAAATCGTTGTCAGTGCTTCATCTATTAACCATGTATTCCACGTTTGCGCTTATGTTTTTACCAAGGTTTGATTGCCCTAGTTTGAGGTTGTATACTGTGGTATTTGAAGAAATAAACTATCGGAAACGAAGACCCGCGTGGCAGCGAAGTGAGGACAAACGAAGGAATTATAACGTTGGAAGACTCAAGTCAATGTTGCTACGAGAATGTAATAAATTAATATAACTTTTTTTTTGAATAGTATCGACCTTGACCAAAAGAGTTTTGTGGCTAAGTTTCCGCATTGTGCCTATTTGAGAAGTTTGCAGTAAAATATTTCATTACCTCTAACATTGAAACGTTGTCAAGGTAGTGTTGAAGTCTAACACGATTGAAAAACCAAGCGTTTGGTAGCTTGACCTTACCAAAATAGTTAAGATGGAATAAAAACTTTAACCGAGAACACAAACATAATAAACTCCAATCGTATGATTCCTCCTAAATGCTGGGAAGAATTTCGATACAAGTTGCAGGCTGTATTGCTGGATTTTTGCTTTTTTGGACTTTGTGTAGAAAGGTACTGTCTCAACAGTTTCTCGCAAAACTTTTGTCTGCAATTAGCCTGGCAAAAAGAAAGAGGGCAAACTGCAATGTTGTTGAAGTATCCCGCAGCTAGCGAAAATAAGCAAAAAAATTTAAATTTTAATATTTCTTGTTTGTTCTGATAGAATACTGGAGAATTCACTAGGAAAGGCGTCAAACAAATCGTTTACAAATCCAGCAAAGTCCATTTAAAAACTTAAAGTATGAAATATATCTGTTGTGACTAACGAACACCTTCCTAAAATGGAGAATCATTACGGTAGTAATTCTTCTACACTCCTAATAAAGGCAATTCTAGCAATATAATATTCTTGTAATTTAGCCTTTACGAGCCACATTAGCAACCAGTAGACTGTAACCTTTATTAATTTGAGATCCCCGATTACCACGTTTCTAATCTCCCATAGCCCGACGATTTATCATCTCTTGGGTAATAACTTTTTACTATGTTGGGGTCCTTTCGTACAGTTCGACCCTTTTGTTCTTACTTCATTTTTGTATCATACAGATATAAATTCCGGCTGACATTAGTTGATATACTAAGAAGAGAAATATAAATGAGAACAACTTAAGATCAATTAAACAGATCAAAAGCTGCCGACTGAGGCACTTATTGACAGAAAGTAGTAATATAAACTGAGGTAGACAGTCACAGGTGAGCAAGCAGTGTTAATCGGAAGGACGACTTGAATTCTAACAACAACTCTGAACTGTTTCCTGAATACTGCCTCTTTTATCCCTCGCTTTCGTCTGGCGGTCAGTCTGCAACCCCTCCGGAAGTTTCCCCTCGGAGAACTACAGGGACCTTTATTTCCCCACATTGCCTTCCGCGACCGGTCGCGACAATATCAGTGATTAAACCAACTGAATGTAATGACTTTGAATCACTTCACAGTCGCATAGTTGCTGGAGTATAAGTTTATTGCATGGTCGAGCAAAAAGAAAACAGCTAGTTGTCGAAAAATCAGATTAATAATTGGTAAGACCAGAGGGCAATTGGCATTTAATTTTCTAAGCACAATTTTGTTCACCATTTTTAGAAAATTTGCGTAAAGAAGAAGACAGGCCATATTAATTGTTTGTACTCATCTATTGATGCATAAATCAAATTTTTTGCTTTTTTAGTACAAACCTATTTGTCATGTTCTAGTAGATCATAATTATAAGAATAATACTTAAAACGTTCTGCAACACTAACAGTCGCTTTCTCAATCATACTTTAAGGTTTTTTTAGATCCTTGAAATACAGCTGGTTTTTGTTCAATAAAAATTCTTAAACGACAGACAGCAATAGGCATAAGCATCAATGTAAGTATTATTTACTGTCGACAGGTTGCAGTACGAACAGTTCTGTATTTGGTATGCTTTAACATTTTTTTGAAAATTTCCGAAATTTTTAGCTGTCGTAAGCGCATGAAAAGCTTCCAAACTTTAACATTATTATAAAAAAATTCCTCTCCATTATTTTTGCTAATTATTTATGTATTAGACCATAAACCATTTATTGCGCTAAAAACGTATACCAAGTGTTTTGCATCTAGAATAACAAATGAAAAGACTAGCCTGGAAGTACTATAAAATGTATATGATATACGCATGAAAAAAATTTAATCTTATAACACTTAATATTATTAAACGATAGAGTCAATTCTTGTAAAAAATTTTCGAATTAGTGACAAGCGACACACTTAAATTTGACCTGCAATTAATCGCCACTTTTAAATGGCACTGATCTTTGTCTAGAAACAACCGGCGCAAAGCCAAAACAAAATAAATTTTTTCTTTTTCAACAAAAAAGTATGAGACATGGTTTTTGATATCTCTTAGGCTTAGCAACTTTCACATGTGATGCATCTGTTGATTGAACGCAGTAAAAGTTTTCTGCAGCCATCCTGCGTGACATGCTCGTGATTTCAGTTTAAAAAGTTCTTCAAAGGTGTCAGTTGATAAAAGGAGCTCTCAAAGCAACAAATTTGGTTGATAATCGATAAGAATTTAAAAAAAAAAA